TTTTTTATGTGTTTAATGCTTTATATTACTTTTGAAACACACATGCTTTAAAAAATGACCTCCTAGAGCCCATAATTATATAAATAATAAAATGTATCTCCCATCTACCTCCTCTTCCTAATCCTGTCATGCTGCATGTAAGTCTGACTGATTAGAACTGCTTCATCCATCAGAAGAATGGAGTAGTAAGAATCCAATGTACTTAATTTTGATATGAGGACAATTGACCTAGTATATGGTAAAGGGGTGGGGAATTGGGGGTCCAGAGGGAGGGAAAGAGGGATGGGGATGCAGGGTCACAGTGTTTGGCACACCTCTTGGGGGAGGAACACATTTATAAGAGGGACTTTGTCCGACAAATGCAATTAGTGTAACTTGGATCTTTGTACTCTCAATGAATCCCCAACAATAAAAAAGAAAAAAAAGAAAAAAAGAATTGCTTCATCTTATTAGCATATTTTATCAAGGCAGTAGTGCCATACATCTACTAAAATGACACTGGTATTTCAGTAGGGATTGCATTCAATTTGTAAATTACTTTGTATAGCATGGACATTTCACAATGTTGATTCTATAGGTCCATGGAGAAATAATATATTTCTCCATTTGCTTGTGTCTGTGTGATTTCTTTCATCAGTGTTCTATAGTTTTCTTTGTAGAAATTTCTCTTACTTGGTTTAGTATTTTCCTCAGTATTTTACTTTCTTTGTAGTTATTGTGAATAGTATTGAATTTTGATTCCACTCTCAGCATGACTCTTTTTTTTTTTTTTTTTTTGAGACGGAGCCTCAAGCTATCCCCCTGGGTAGAGTGCCATGGCATCACGCTCACAGCAACCTCCAACTCCTGGGCTCAAGCAAGTCTCCTGCCTCTGTCTCCCAAGTAGCTGGGACTACAGGCGCCCGCCACAGCGCCTGGCCATTTTTTGGTTGCAGCCATCATTGTTGTTTGGCGGGCCGGGCTGGGGATTCGAACCCGCCACCTTAGGTGTACGTGGCTGGCGCCTTAGCCGCTTGAGCCACAGGCACCAAGCCCAGCATGACTCTTAATGGTAAATAAATGCTTGAGTTTGACTTCAATAAATTATTGTCCCAAATTAAAAGAAAAGGAAATGCTACTGATCTAGGTACATTGATCCTGAGGCTTTACTGAATTTATTTATCAATTACAGGAGTCTCTGGGAGGAGTCTTCTTGGCTTTCTAGATATAAGATCATATCATCAGCAAAAAGTGATAGTCTGACCTTTTGTTTTTTACTGATTTGGATACCCTTTATTTCTTTCTCTTGCCTGATTGCTCTGGTTAGTTCTTCTAGTACTCTATTGAATAGAAGTGATAATAATGGGCTTCCTTTTCTTATTCTGGTTCTTAGTGGGTATGCTTTCAAGTTTTCCTCATTCAGTATGATGTTGGTGGACTGTTCATCATGTATGGCTTTTGTAATCTTGAGATATATTTCTTCTATGTCCAATTTGTTGAAGGTTTTTATCAAGAAAGTGTGTAGGATTTTGTCATATGCCTTTTCTGTGTCTATTGACATGATGATATGGTCTTTGTTTTTGCTTCTGTATATGTGGTGAATCACATTTTTCAATTTCCCTGTGTTGAACGATCCTTTCCCCACTTGGTTTTGGGGAAAACTTAGCTCTGGAGACAGCTGCCAAGGAGAGGCCAATGCAGCTTCATCTATCTAGAAACTGTGATTGCGGTTGCACGCAATCTAAGATCCACAGTTTGGCTGTCAGCAGTGGGCTCCACTCTTCTATCTCTTCTCCTGCTTTTCAATTCTCCTCCAATATCTGCTGACAGACGGAAGCTCAAATAATCTGAACTCCTCAGCAGTGGTGCTGCATGCAGGGAACTACCCCGAACTGAGAGTGTGGCTTTCCTGTGTGGTGAGGGATGCTCCATGAGTGTGCTGTGGCTGCGACCCATACTCCACTCTCCTGTAAGTTCTGCTCATGTGGGTCCCCTTGCCTCCCAAGATTAGTTCCTAAATTTCTCTTCTGTATCCCTGAGCAACACAAACAAATCTTAAGGGTATGGGATATGGCCTGAGAACCTGTCCCTGGGTCCTGAATACCAATTTCTGATCATGCCAGGGAGAAGCATGCTGGTCCCAAGTTATCTATGTAGTGCTCAAGCAGGTTTGATGTCCCTCTGCTTCAGGGTGTACCCTAATCCAATGAAGCAGTTGGGGAAAGCAGTACCAGGGAGGATCAGTGAGCAGGGAACTCACAGTCTGAGCATGCTTAGTCCTCTGTAGTCTTTAAGAGGAAAGAATTTATCCCCACTATCTGTGAAATCCCCAACAGAGAAGCAGCTTCTGCAAGCTCTAGCTCAAGTGCCTCTCTCAACAGCCATAGATTGGGGAGGGGAATGGGAGGAAAATAGTTTGAATGAAGGAAAGCAGCACTCTGGTTGTCTCTGTCCTTATTTCTGAAGGCAGCCCTCCCAAGATGTCTAGACTTTGGGGTCATACATATTCCCCAGAATCCACTAGACCCCTGTCCTCCCACAGTATGGGTCAGAGTTGTGAAATATTTATGTGGAAATGAGCCAGAGAAAAACTGAGGGGCTGAAGCCGCATGGAAAGGACAAAGGTGCACAGTGGGTGAAAAAACAGTAAGGCACCTATAGTCTTAGCTCACATCTGTGGTGACTGGAAGTAAAGCTGGTAGCCTGTTTTTTTGATCATCAATAGGTTCCCAATTCACTGGCAGAAGCAGCTTTGGGTTCATTAGAGTAGAAAGCTCTCCAACAACTTAGGAGCCTGCTGATTGCCAGAGATATTGAGGGAAAGAGAAACAAACCACTCCACTTATTCTTTTTGCTGGACTCCAAGGCTCTCAGGGGTTGACCTCTGTAGATATCTTTCTGCTTCCTCTGCTCTGCAGCTTCTTCCTGTGGAATCTACCATAGGTTCTACCCCTTTTCCTTCAGAATTATATCTGGTCTATGATTGCTTGTTTGTTTTTCCTTTTTCATCAAAAATGTTCCCTCTTTTCTGAGATGATCTGGCAACTGGTGTCTCTGGTTAGCCATCTTCTGCCTCAGTGTTTATTGAAAGTTAGAAATGGTATTTGAAAAAATAAGATAATTCAAATTTTTCCTAACACCTGCAACAATTCATCTTTTGTTCTGCCAGGCAAATGAGGGAGGCAGTGCTGATCGCCCAGATATCTAAATCCAACCCAGAACTGAATCAGAACAACTCTAGGTTGCAGCGTTGGTATACCAAGTTCTTGTTTGCCTCTGTTCCTGTGCTGTGACCTTTCAGAGCTGTCAGTTAAGAGCTTGACTCTGGGCATTTTTAGTCACTCGGTGCCAAGGGGATGAGGGAATATTCACTCTGATTTCCAAGATGTTTGGTGTAGTTCTTTGATCTCCTACCCTTCACTGCTTTAATACTGGTCAAATATTTAAGGAGAAAATCTACTATATGATAGTGACCCTCAAGTCTCCAATTTTGTCCTTCTAGTCCTATGTAACTCCCAAAGTTGTGCTGGCTTCTCTTTTCCAACAGGTGTCCTCTGCCTTGCTTAATCCCAGATTCTAAATCATTAGCCTATGCACTGAAATGGGAAATTCCCTTAGAGAAAAAGAAGGTATCAATCATTGGATCATCTGTGATCATCTCATGCTGAGATTTTAATATATTTAATTCATGTTGCTTCCAAAAACATCTGATGCTTTAATTTTTGGGTACATTTTCCAGTTTTTCACATCATACCTAGCAGGAACATTGACCTGCTGTGAATTCCTCCTCTATTCCAAATCAAAGCAAAAGTTCTTGGTGTGATTTTCTATTTCACCATTTCATACAGTACAATGTTGATGGACATTATTTAACTTCTCATCCTTTTTCTTGTGTTTAGAAGGAAAAGAACAGTAATACAGCTTGTCCAAATTGTCTATTCAAGTGATTTTCGGGTAGGAATATAACCTGCTTCTGCTCTTGGATTAGAAATACATATATTTCTCTTAGAGAACAAAGAAGTTCAAAGTTTGAACAACAGTAAACTTCTGATAGGAAGTTCAAGCAGAAATTGGCATTATATGGGGTAGACAGGGTGGGAGAACAACATTCTATGATTCTGAGCATTATCTGGGTGATGTCAGTATCATCTCACAATATCTCCCACATGAGGTTGTACAATCTGCTCAAAAGAGGGACACATGTTTTGAAATTATGTATCTAGATCTAGAGTCTGAATGCTAGGATCCTAAGTGAAATGTTCTGATGTAAGCCATGACATGTCTCACTATTCATTCATTTTTCAGCTCTGAATAATGATGTCACATACAGATTTTCTTTTTTTAAGTGAAGTGGGTTCTCTGTCACCAAGTTGGAGTGCAGTGGTGTTATAGCTTACTCCAACCACCAACTCCTGGTCTTAAGTCATCCTTCTGTCTTAGCCTTCTGAGTCGCTAGGACTACAGGAATGTGCTACCATGCCTCGATAATTTTTTCTTTCTTTCTTCTTCTTTTTTTTTAATCAAGAGAGATAGAGGTCTCACTATATTGCCCAGGTTAAGCCTAAACTCTTGGACTTACGCAGTACTTCTGCATCTATCCCCTCCCACTGGGACTACAGGTATGAGACACTGTTCCCACTAAAAGGGACAATTTTGATTGGTTTTGCATTCATGCTGCTGCCTGAGATTTCTGATGAGCTCACCCTGGTTCTTGACGCTTTTTTTCTTTACTTTAATCCTCTCAACTTCCAGATTATTTGCACTGAAGTATGTGTGTGGTTTATAAGCAATAAATCCACCACCTGGGCTGTTCCAGTTACCCTTTGAACTTACGCCGAGAAAGACACTGTGGCCAATTCAGAGTAGAGATTCTGCTTTTATAGTCCTTTTCAGACCCTGTGCAGAAATCAACAAACCAGAAGGTTAACTTTGATATGATCTAGTGACAGCTTTCATTCCAGCCTACACACTAGATTATTTTCAGGTGAATTCAGTTTTCTTCTCTGTAACTCTCTTTATAGGAAACAAGACCCAGCTCCTGCCTCGGTGCAATGACTCCCTGTCTGACTCAGCGGGATCTGTCACCTCAGAGGAGAGCGCTGCCAACTGCTCAGGTGAGAGGTCCCACAGGATCAGAGAACCTTCTCCTGTATAATGCCCTGTATAACATGGCTTTGTCTCTCCTCAGAGCGCCCATACCTCCGCCTGGTAGATGGGGGCAGTCCCTGTGCTGGAAGAGTGGAGATCTACCATGAGGACTCCTGGGGCACCATCTGCGATAACAGCTGGGACCTGAGTGATGCCCATGTGGTGTGCAGATATCTGGGCTGTGGAGAGGCCCTGGATGCACTGGGCTCTGCTGCCTTTGGGGCGGGATCAGGTCCCATTTGGCTGGATGAGCTGCAGTGTACAGGAAAGGAATCCTACATTTGGAAGTGTCCTTCACAGGGCTGGGGGAATCATGACTGCTCTGACCGTATGGATGCAGGGGTAATCTGCTCAGGTATGGTGAGAATATCATCCCCTGGTTGAGAGAATGGAAAGTTACAGGGAAGCAGGTGTCTGGTCTCTGCATGAACAGAGGCTGAATGGGCTGGAGAGGTCTGAGAGGTCCGTGGAGAGTCCCTGACTACTCTGCATAGCTGTGGATTATGTGCTTCGCTTACTTTCTTCTTCTAAGTCTCCATTGCTGTTCCTTCTTTCTCCAGTGGACAATGTGAAATGCTTACATCAAATTAAAAGAGGGTAATAAACAAGTAAATACAATAAGTAAAAACATGAAACTATGAGACATATCAGGAAGATAATCAGAAGGCAATTTCAAGCATGGGTTTGGAGCTTTGGGGAGTCTCTGAACACAGATATAAATTTATTATCTGTAGTTCTCTTGAGGACTGGAGAAGAAAGGGACAGCAATCATCTCAAAATCAAGCTTCTTAATTTTGTTTTTAGATTTACTTTCTATACATCTGTAAATCACTACACACACTACTTTTGTAACAGTGAGCCTGTCAGAGGGAAGAATTAGAATAGCAATGTACTTTCCTTGTTTGAATTCTGTTTTTCTATAATCATAGTGTGCTTGTAAGCATTGTTTTGCATGAGGCAAGTAGGTGTATAGGCATGTGAGATATCATTAAACCAGTCAGAGAGGAATTTGTGGAATTGTGTCAAATCACTAGTCTCCTTTGCAGATTCAGAGGTAAGCAGGCACAGCTCTTGGACTGGAAGGACCAGAGAAGTGTGGATGAAATGCTGAGTCATGGGTTCTCTTTTCTATGATTACTAGAAAAGACTCTTCATTTTTGATTCAAAAAATCTATATAAACTCAAAATTTCTATCACTTAGACATGATAGAAAATTGATGGGTGCAATAAAATAGTAACTTGTACATTTTATAGTAAGATATTATAGGATTTACACATGTACCTGATGGTGTTAATGAGTTTATACCTGATGGCTCCTATGATATGGGAAATGCATCAGTGAATTTATTTGATAAGAATGAGACCAAGATGACAAATGGAATTCTTCAAGACAGTGCACAAGGCTTATTATAGTTGGGGCATTGGAATTGGCAATGGGAGCTGTGAAAAGACACTTAAGGTGTTGTCTGAATAGTGTTGAGAGTCCAGGTGGAGTCTGGAGAATCCCAGAGTGTACACTTAGGTGAATTTTGTATGGCTTCTTTTCTTCCGCAAGAAAGAAGAATGAGTTGTAAGAAAGACTCTAGTCTAAGGTATGGAGGTCAGAATAGTGGAAGGAGTAGTCCTGGTGATGACATTTTATTAAATGACTTGCCTAAGGACACAGTGTATCTATATAATAAAAGTCAGATTTATCTGACTACAATTTTCATTTTGCCTCAGAGGGATTAATTCATATATATTAATAGCCCTCCTAAGGGGCAGTTTCCCTTTCTTTGTGGTTTCCAGTTTCCAGGTTTCTCATAAACCTTTGCAGAAGGCTCAAAACTTTATACTTGCCTTTCTTAATACTAGAAGAAAAGCCCAACAAAGATAAGAACACTGATTAATTGCAGTTTACTTCTCCAGCACCTAGGAAGGTTTCTAGAACACATAAAGATCTGTAAAGATGTTTTTATTTTGAATTAGAAAATGTGAAAGTAGAATCTCAATATTGCTTTCAAGTACTTTTCTCCCATCTAAATATCAGTCCTGTGCAGATAGTTTAGTTATACCTCCTCTGAAACCTTACTTCTTTCCCTCATTTTCATCATTTCCTGATTATGGGCTTGATTTTTACCTATTTTGGGGCTCTAGTGGCCACTCTTTTTGTCCCTTACTGCACCTTTATGGGAAGACCATGTCGACCATTTCTGGCTTTCAAAGGTGAATGGGCAACTGAAGGGCAGAAGGCAAGTTTGATCTTCTATGAAGATGCTTTGATATTTGTGGGTCTCTGCATGGCTACATACCACATCCACTAGAGGTATTCTCAGCATCATGGGCAACACAATGCTCTGATGCTAACTGTATAACGGGAGTCTGCCTATCTTTCAAGCACTGCAAGAGTAGCTGACAAAGAGGCCTTTCATGGTCATGTGTCAAATATATATCCAGGTACCTTAAGTCATTTTTAGTCCTGATTACCCAATGCTTTTAGATCACTAGAAAAGAACCATATCTTTCTTAGTATGGGCCTGGGTGCCTTCCTCCTTTTTTGACCAAAGGAACAGTTTGTTTGTATGTCTCCTAAATTATCACACAAAAATATGAGCCAAATCACTACAGTACAAGACACAAATTCTGGATTTTAGGGTTACTTTTACTTTTAATTGATGTTTAATAGCTTTTAGTATTCACCACTTTTTGAGGCTACTTTTATGAAAAACCAAATGAAACTGAATACTTTGTTTTTCTTTTGAGAAAGGGAATCCCTGCTGAATTTTTTATTACCTAGATTTACTGTTAGATAATAAATTTATATCTGTAGTTCAGAGACTCCCCAAAGCTCCAAACCCATGTATGAAATTGCCTTCTGATTATCTTCCTGACATGTCTCATATTTTCAAGTTTTGACTTATTGTATTTACTTATTTATTACCCTCTTTTAACTTGATGTAAGCATTCCACATTGTATATCAAAACACACATTGTACCCCATAAATGTATTAATGTACACAGTTATGATTTAATAAAGAAATAAAAAATAAATTTACTAATCAGTAAAAAATAGAAAGACTTCACTGTTAAAAAAAAAACAACAAAAATCTAAACTATTAAGGGGGTACAAGTATTTTTGTAACATGGACAGCTTTTACATTGCTTAAGTCAGGACTAGTAATGTGCCCTTAACACAAATAGTGATCATTGTACTAGCTAGATAGGTTTCTACCCCTCTCCTCTCTCTGCCTCTGCTAGATTTCCAGTGGCTTTTACTTTTCCCTGTGTCCATGTGTACTCATGAATTAGTTCCAAATTATTTGAGAGTACATATGGTGTTTGTTTTTCAATTCCTGACAGATATCACTTAGGATAATGGTCTCCATTTCCTTCCAAATTGATGCAAAAGGCATTAATTCATTCTTCTTCTTTTTTTTTTTTTTTTTGGCTGAGTAGTATTCCATGGTACTCAGTACTCCATATACATAGCATATTTTATTTATCCACAAACGCTTAGTTTGATTTCACATTTTTGTGATTGCAAATCGTGCTGGAATCATTTGAGTGTGTCTTATAACGTCCTTGGAGTAAGTACCTGGTAGTGGGATTGCTGGGTAGAATGGTAAGTCTACATTTATTTTTTTGAGGACTCTCTGTGCTGTTTTCCCTAGAGGTTGTACTAATTTGCATCCCACTAATAGTGTTAAGTGTTCCTTTCCGCATCTATGCCAGCATCTATTATTATTATTATTTTGACTTAAAAAATGGCATCTGACAGGGGCAAGGTGGTTTTAATTTGCATTTCTCTGATGATTAGCGATGTTGAGCATTTTTTCATACGTTTGTTGCACATTTATCTATCTTCTTTTGAAAAACTTCTGTCATATCTTTTGCCCACTTTTTAGTGGGATTTGGATGTTTTTCTTGCCAATTTATTGGAGTTCTTTGTAGATTCTGAATATTATCCCCTTATTAGATGTAGAATTTGTGATAATTTTCTCCCATTCTGTAGTTTGTCTGTTTACTTTTTTGGTTATTTTCTTTGGTGCAGAAGCTTTTTAATTTAATGAAGTCTTATTTATTTGTTTTGATTGTTGCTGTAATTGCCTTCAGGGTCTTGCTAATAAATTCTTTGCCTAGGCCAATGTCTAAAAGAGTTTTTCCTACATTTTGCTCTTTTTATGGTTTCATGCTTTACATTTAAGTCTGTTATTAATCTTGAATTAATTTTTGTAAGTGGTGAGAGATGGGATCATCTCTAATTCTTCTAATGTAGCTATCCAATTTTCTCAGCACCATGTATTAAGCCTTTCTTTCCCCAGTATTTGTTGTTGTCTGCTTTGTCCAACATCAGTTAGTTGTAGGTAAATTGTACTATGTCTGGTTCTATGTTCTGTTCCATTGGTTAATGTCCCCATTTTGTACTAATACCAGGCTATTCTGGTTACTCTATCCTTGCAGTCTAGTAGAGTGATGCCTCCAGATTTGTTTTATTTTGCTTAAGACTGTTTTGGCTATTCAGGATCTCTTTTGGTTTCAAATGAAGTATAGAATTATTTTTTGTAGATCTGTGAACTATGACGTTGATATTTTGATGGGGTTTGTGTTCAATCTGTAAATCACTTTGGGTACTATGTACATTAAACAATGTTGATTCTGTCCATTTGTGAACATGATGTATTTTTTTACTTGTTCATATTATCTGTGATTTCCTTCATGAGTGTTTTGTAGTTCTCCTTGTAGAGGTCTTTACTTTCTTGGTTAAGTATATTCCTAAGTATTTTATTTTCTTTGTAGCTGTTGCTAACATTAGTGAGTCTTTTTTTTATTATTATTTTTATTTTGAAACTGAGTCTCACTATGTCACCTTTGGTAGAGTCCCGTGGCATCACAGCTCACAGCAACCCCAAACTCTTGGGCTGAAGTATTCTCTTGTCTTAGCCTACTGAGTAGCTGGGACTACAAGTGACTGCCACAATGTCTGGCTGTTTTTTGGTTGCAGTTGTCATTGTTTAGCAGGCCCAGGCTGGGCTTAAACCCACCAGCCTGGGTGTATGTGGCTGGCGCCCTACTCACTGAGCTATGGGTGCCGAGCCCATTATTGAGTCTTTGATCTGACTAAGCTTGACTGTTATGGTATATAGAAATGCTACTGACTTCTATCCATTGATTTTGTAATCTGAGATTTTGCTGAATTTATTGATAAATTCTAGGAGTCTCTTGGTTGAGTCTTTGCAATTTTGAGGTGAAAGATCATATCATTAGTGAAAAGCAATAGTTTGATGTCCTCTTTTCTAATTTGATTTCTTTTCTTTTCTTTCTTTCTTTCTTTTCATTTTTTTTTTTTTTGAGGCAGCGTTTCATTACATTGCCCTTGGTAGAGTGCCGTAGCATCACAGATCACAGCAACCTCAAATTCTTGGGTTTAAGTGATTCTCTTGCCTCAGCCTCCCAAGTAGCTGGGACTATAGTACCTACCACAATGCCCAGCTAATTTTTTTGTTGTTGTTGCAGTTGTCATTGTTGTTTAGCTGGCCCGGGCTGAGTTTGAACCAGTCAGCCTTGGTGCATGTGGCTGGTGCTGGAACCACTGTGCTATGCGTGTCTAGCCTGGATATCCTTTATTTCTTCCTCTTAGCCTAATTACTCTGGCTAGGACTTCTGCTACTGTGTTGAATAGAAGTGGTGACAGTGGGCCCCTTTGCTTTTTCCATTCTTAGAGGAATACTTTGAACTCTTCCCTTTTCGGTGTGATATTGCTGTGGTTTTGTCCTATGTGACATTTATGATTTTTGGATATATTCCTTCTATTCTTAATTTGTTGAGGGTTTCTGAAACAAATGAAAGAGTGCTAGGTTTTGTTGAATGCTTTTTCTGCATCTATTAAGATAATCACATGATCTTTGTTTTTGCTTCTGCTTATGTGATGAATCACATGTATTGATTTATATATGCTGAACTATCCTTGCATCCCTGAGATGAAGCCTGTTTGGTCATGTGAATTATGTTTTTATGTGCTGTTGAATTTGGTTTGTTAGTATTTTATTGAGGATTTTTGAATCTATGTTCGTGAGGGATATATTTTGTTCTGTAGTTTTCTTTGTTGTGTCCCTCCCTACCTGGCTTTGGTATCAAGAAGATACTTGCTTTACAGAATGAGTTAGGGAGGAGTCTCTCTTTTTCAATTTTACAGAATAATTTCTGTAGTATGGGTACCAGCTCTTAGTTGTACATCTGGTGTATTCATCCTTGATTCCATCTTGTCCAGTCTTTCTCTAATTGGGAGATTTCTTTTTTTATTTCGACTTCAATATTTCTCTATGTTCCTGGTCTGTTCAGGAGTTCTATTTCTCTTCTAGACTTAGTCTTTGAAGATTGTGTTTTTCCAGAATTTTTCCATTTCCTGTATGTCCTCTACTTTATATGCACAGAGATTTCCATAGTATTTGCAGATGTTATTTTGTATTTTTGTGGTATGAGTTGTAATGCCTCCTTTTCATTTCTGATTGAGCTCTGCCTGCTCCCTCCTTGGCCTGGCTGGGGTCATGGGAAGACTACTGTTGCAAAGCTGAGTACTGAGCAGACCTAACAACATGCATCTGAGAGCTCAGGATGGTGTTATAAAATGTAAATATAGTTGTGAGATTTTGATAAATATTGAAAATTTTTTCATTCATTAAAAAATGTAAATTGTAAGTTAGTTGGTATTATTATTCAGGAACTGAAAGCTTCTGGCACTGAAATAGTGAAAAAGATGAGCTTAATCTTTGCCTTCATTGAGTTCACCTTCAGTGAATATAAATCTTATAAAGGGCAATAGACAGATGATAGATATCCTCTTAATACACAGGATAATATATTCTTACAAAAAGATATATATGTGCAAATATATACATACATATGTGTGTGTATATACATGAATGAATATACATATATGTATGTATATCTATGCATTCATTCTTGGGATTCAACTATATTCCTCCTGAATTTTTAATTAGAAACTTACTCATGGAAGATCCACTCTGACATCAACTATGAACTCTTCTTCCCAGGCATGACCTACCCACAGGAAAAGAAAAACTTTCACATCATTCTCCGTAATATGTCATTTCATAATGACAAACCAGGATCGTAGATACCCACCATGCTACTTTTCTCTCTCTTAGGATTTGTGCATCTGGTTGGTGGGGTTGGACCCTGCTCAGGGCGAGTGGAGGTGAATTCTGGAGGAGGCTGGACTCCAATTTCTGGTGGGAACTTCATATTCTCCACTGCCCAGGTCATCTGTGCAGAGTTGGGGTGTGGCAAGCCTGCATCTGTCCTGGAGGATGTGTCCTTCATAAAAGCTAGTGGACAGCTCTGGACTGAAGAGTTCCAGTGCCAGGGCCAGGAGTCTAGGCTCTGGTTGTGCCCACGAGCTCCCTGTGCTGGAGGGACTTGTCTCCACAGTGGGGCTGTTCAAATCATCTGTTCAGGTGAGACTCAGGGCAGGACTTAACCTCTCTGTATACTCTGCTGGGGTAAGAAACACATGAGGTTTTGCTCAATTCTTGTCTTCTCCTTCCAGAGTATACAGAAGTTCGGCTCATGAAAAATGGTACCTTCCAGTGTGAAGGACAAGTGGAGATGAATATTTTTGGAGACTGGAGGCCATTCTGTGCCTCCCACTGGAGTATGGCCAATGCCAATGTGCTTTGTCGTCAGCTTGGCTGTGGAGTTGCCATGTCTACCCCACAAGGAGCATACATTGTGGAAGAAGAGACCAGGATCTGGAAAGACCGATTTCACTGTTCAGGGACTGAGCCCTTCCTATGGCATTGCCCTGTGACTGCTCTGGGTTCTCCAGACTGTAACCATGGAAACACAGCCTCTGTGATCTGCTCAGGTAAGAGATAAATAGGGGCTGACTGATTCTCAGGATGCTCCTTAAGGGAAATGTCCCCAAGAGCAGAGAATATGATAAACTGAGCTCAAAAATGAGACATTCTATAGTAAAATATGCTGCTTCTCATCATTCATGCATTTTCCATTTTAGAGCAAGAGTGCTAAGAAAAATATTTAAAAAAATGATTATTAATTGTAATTTGCAAAGAATAATTTATAATTAATGAATACATGGCCCACTCAAGGACTCTAACCCAGATCAACAAGGAGAGCATCAGTCAGCCCCAGAAGTCACCTACACACCCCACCAATCCCAATGCCTTTGCTTCTTTCTAAAGAATACCACTTTCCAAACTTCTATAACCAATGAATTTTTTTCATAAGGCATATAAAACCATACAGTATGTTCTCTTTTTTGTCTGACTCCTTTAATGCTACATAATGTTTGAAATTCACCCATGTTGTTGTTTACAGTAGCACTTCATTCATTTTTATTGCTGTAGAGGATTCTATTGAATGACCTCATGACCATGTATTGATCCATTTACATGTTGTGAGAGATTTACTTTCAAATCTTGACTATTACTAACAATAATGCTGCAAATTACTGTGACAGTGACTTTTGGTGTAAATATGGGTGTATTCATTTTGAATTTTAATTTTACTCTTAATGGCATGGTATTCTTTGATGATCCAAGTTCTCAATCTCGATGAAGCACAAGTTATCAACCTTTTCCTAGGCACTTAGCACATCAGATATGAGATATGAATAGGATATAAGAAATTAATTTTAAGAGAATTTTGCCTACCTCAATATCATAATAATATTATCTAAGAGTATCTTATAGAAGTTATTTTTATTTTTCTTTTGCATTTAATATTGCAATCCTTGTGGGATTTATATCTGTGTATGTGGTAAAATGGGGTTAAGTTTCATATTTTTATATGGATATCCAATTGACCCAGTATTCTTTCCTAAAAAAACTCTTTGTCCACTGAAGTGCCACCTTTGCCACAGTCACAGTGCAGGAATGTGTGAGTCTTTTTCTAAACTCTATTGTTAGTCTATCCTTGCACCAGCATTTTACTTCTTTAATTATTATGACTTCATAGTAAGTCTGTATAACTGCAGGGAGTTATTTTAAAATAACTTACATATTTCCACATAAGTTTTATAATCAGCTTGTTATTTTTTTTTTTATCTAAACCAAGTATAGTGGTATTTTGATTGAGATGAGATTTGATCTACATATAAATTTAGAAGTCATTGATTTTGACAATACCAAGTCTTTCATGTAAGTGTACATGTATGTAGTATATGAGGGCTGTTTGGAAAGTATCCAGCCATGTAGTATGAAAATTAAAGAAAAGAATAGCTACATACTTTTTGGAGAGGCTTTGTATACCTCCATTCACTAAGATTTTAATTTCTTTCAGAGGTTTTATACATCTTTTACTTGGCTTTCTCCTGGGCATTTTAATATTTGATGTTATTAATATTTCTTTCAGTGAAGTTTTCCTGGGAATGAGTTATCTCTGACTTTTTTTTTTCATTTTGGATAGTTTGCTTTTTAACATGATTTGAGAATTACAGAAAAGTTGCAAGAATAGAGTAAGAATTCCCAGATTTCCTGATGTCAGTATTTTGCTATTTTCCCTTTCCCTTTGCTTACTTTGCCTCCTTTCTTCTTCTCTGCTTCTCTGCTCCATTTTTCCATGAATATGTAAAATATTTCTGAATTTGTTATTAAAAGTAGCTTGCAGACACAATATCTCTTTACCACTAAAATACTTCAAGGAATTTACATAACTGGAATACAGTTACTAAATTCCAGTAATTAACCATGTTGTAATACTATTATGTAGTCCATAAACTTTATCAGATTTTACCAATAGTCTCAAGTAAAAGATTTAAGGTAACGTGAGTATTCTCCTGTAATGTCCATTTAGTCTCTTTTACCACATTCACTGCCATGTGCATTGTATTTAACTTATGCTAGTTTTGAGCCTGGGGTCTCATGAAGCATATATAACTAACATGTCACTTGAGCTATCTTGACATTATAAAACACTGTAGACCCAGGGAAAAATTCTTTTTCTAGTGTAGCAGTCAATACTATTGATTTATGTGTATCAATAGGGTACTTTTTCAGAGTCTTTCTTTCAATTTCATGACTTTGACATTTTGCTTTTAAGAATATAGGCCAGTTATTATGTAGAATGTCTCTCTGGGCTGTGGCAATAACAGGTGAATTAAATACTGTGGAAGCAAAGTAAATTTGAAATAGTCTGTTCTACATGAATACAAATTGGCCTTGACTTTCAAAATAGAAATGAATAATTGAAAAGAAACCATTAGTGAACTAATCACAAAACATCAATCCCCCTGGCTTTTTTTTTTGTTGGAAACACTTTTATTGTTTCTTCAATCTCAGTACTTGATATTGGTCTGTTCAAGAGTTTCTTCCTGGTTAAGTCTAGGGAGATGGTGTGATTCCAAGTATTGGTGTGTTTTCTCCACATTGGTAAGTTTCTGGGCATAGAGCTTTTTTGTAGTAGTCAGAAATAATTTCTTGTATCTCTATGGTATCAGTTGTTATTTCCCCCATTTTCTTTCTCACTGAAGTTATTAAAGATTTTAATTTTCTGTTTCTAGTTAAAGTGGCCTATGGTTTATTGATTTTATTTATCTTTTCAAAAAAACAACATTTTTTTTCATTTATTTTCTGAATGATTCTTTTCTTATCAAATTAATTTCTTTCTGATGGAATTTTTGTTATTTCTTTTCTTCTGCTAGGTTTGGGATTGAATTGCTCTTCTTTTTCCATTTATTTTAGACGATTCATTAAGTTGCCTTTCTGTTTTTTGGATGTAGGCATTTAATGCAATAAATTTCTTTCTTAGGATGGCTTTTGCAGCGTACCATTGATTTTTGTAGCTTGTGTCTTCATTGTTGTTATGTTTGAGGAAGTTAATGATTTCCTCCTTTATCTCTTCCTTGACCCAATTGTTGTTCAGAATAAGGTTGTTTAGTTTCTGCGCCTTTGTGTGAGGATGAAAATTTTTGTTGGAGTTGAGTTCCACCTTTAATGTCTTGTGGTCTGAGAAGGTACAAGATTTAATTACAATTCTTTTGATTTTGTTGAGGTTTGATTTGTGTCCCAGGATATGATCTATTTTGGAGAATGTTCTTCAATGAGAAGAACATTTTCCTTTCACTTCTTCCTTTTTAAATTACCTTGTTATAAAAAATAATTAAAAAAAAACCTTTTTGGAAAGAAGTTTGGAGAACACTTAGGTGTTGAAGTATTCTTTTGGTATAGGATTAAAAGGAAAAGAAGAGTGAACAGTGTGAAGTGAGAAAATATAGAAAAGTAGTAAAGAAAAAGAAAAGGAAAAGGGGGATAAAAGTAAAGATTGAGAAAAATAAGTGAAGAACAGAAAATGTAGAAAAGTAGTAATGAAAAAGAAAAGGAAAAGGGAGATAAAAGTAAAGATTAATTAAAAATAAATAAAGAACAGAAAATATAGAAAAGTAGTAATGAAAAAGAAAAGGAAAAGGGGGATAAAAGTAAAGATTGATAAAAATAAGTGAAGAACAGAAAATATAGAAAAATAATAAAGAAAAA